TTTTCTGATGCAGGAGTTATCCAGTTTCCTGGTTTTGTTCCATGCCACATAATTCATTGGATTACCCAGCAGTGACTTCAGTAACAGAAAGGTTAGGTGTTAGAGGGGAATACTTACAGATTATTCCCATCCTAAAAAACAAGTGGAAGATTTAGGTACACTCTTGCCACTGATAGCCCAAATCAGCAAGTTGCCTTGAGGTATATTTCCCACTCAGAGCAGCAGCAGCTAAATAGAATCGTAAAATGACAGAATGGTTTGGATTGGAAGGATCCTTAAAGATCATCCCATCTCATTCCAAGCCTTTGCCATGGGCAGGGACACCTTCCACTAGATAGAGTGCTCAGACCCCAGTCCAACCTGTCCTTAAACACTACCAGGGATAAAAGCTAAACCTTCCCATACCAGAAAGCCTGGCTGAAAACCAGGTACCCTAACTACAGCACCATAGGGTAACTGACCTGAAGCCCAAGATCCACTAAGTATGTAGATAAAGTTATGGGCACTTTTGAAACTCCCCTCCATTGCCCCAGAATAGTACCTCTCTATTTTCACTCAGATGGTATTTAAATCCCTGATCCACGTGTGGGACTGGATTTTGCTGTATCTAGGCTGCCTTTGGGTTTGTGTTCCCAGACCCAGCTGCCCTGGAGCAGTTGCTGTCCCACAGTGTTGGGGCAGAGCAGTAGAACTCATCCCTACAGCCTACAGCCACTACCCAGAAGTGAAGATGTTAAAGGACTTGGGTTCAAACTTCAGCTTCTATCCCTAAGCTAAGGGCAATACGCGATAATACAAGCGATAAATAATAACACTTACGTAAACATACATGAAAACAGAAAATAAACTCTCAGAACAGCTTGTGCTTTCTTAGTAATCACCACTCCTTATTTACCAAGAAAAAAGGTCACATAGTAATGCCTTTTTTGAAAGGCATTTTGTCCCTAGAGTGGCCTTGTGAGATAAATCTCTTTTTCCATGAAAGTGCTGGGGAAAGAGGGAGTGGTCAGGTGGCTGAAGCCAATTCACTGATGCCATGTAGACAACCATGTAATGTAAAACATTGACCCTAAAATAATAGGCAACATTGAGCTGTGATCACTCCAGTCCTTTTGCACAAACAAGGAGATCATGTAATGTCACATGCACATGTTAAAGATCAGTTCCTGACTCACAGCTGGGTCAAAGTCACCTCTGTGTAAAGAGCCACAAGCTCCTTCAGTTTCACTGAGCCCTATTTCAGAGAATGAACGGGACTTAAAAGTGAGACAGAAATCTGTCAAATAAAAGCTTTGCAAAAGTAAAGAACTATTTCTGCAAGAAAAAATAAATTAGTCTCACCTCCAGGCCATTGCCTCATATTCCATTTTAAAGACCAGCTCCTCAGCTGGGTGGGCAGTGCAGCTTCACTCAAGGCAAATTAGCCAAGAAATTACTCATAAGAGATCAGCTATAAGAAATGTATTGCCTTGACATTTGGAGAGCCAGCTGGGCTCACTGAGAGCTTGCCATTTTAACTAATGTTTAAAGAAAGAACAAAAATAAGCAAATTATTATTATTATTATTATTATTGTTGTTGTTGTTGTTGCTAATAATAATAATAATAATAATAATAATAATAATAATATCGGATTACTACAAAAAATAAAAGAACTAAAATGTTTGCCTAGCAGTCTCAGTGGGGAGGTGAGAGCAGGTAAGATATGAGCAGATATTTATTATTATTACTGACATTATTTTAAAAAGATGGTACAGGTCAAGTTCTGGCATCAAACTTACATACTGGGAAGAAGTTTGTGAGATACAATCTTGACTTAGGCCAAAATGCTCTCTCCAAAAGTTTTCTGGACTGTGCAACGATGAAGATTAGCCTGTATATCCAAACCAGTCAGCCAGAAATCCTCATGCTCTGCTTGCAAACCAATTGACTGGAACTGGAAAGGACAGCTGACATAAGTGAACTTTGTCAAAGAGCTCAGCCACTTGGCAGGGAAGCTAGAAACACTACATTATTCCAGCCTTGCACAGAGGTTACCACCAAATATATTGGGTGCTGCTGCCAGATAGCAGGTTTGATGATCTGCTCCATCCCACTGCTCAGAGATGCTTGTTTTATTCTGAAGACACAGTGTCCAGCAGGAAAATCTCACAGGAATTAGAAGAATAAAGCTGTAATGAAAACAGATTTATAACTCCTAGGAGAAAACCTGCCATAGTCACATTTTGAAGGCCTTATTGCTTTGGCTGAGTGTGATAGGTGGTGTTACTGCAGAGCCTGAGCAAGATGCAAAATGTGTTCTTGCCAGTGGATTTCTCCTGCCCAGGAGCTAATCCCAGTGAGTTTTCTGTCCCCTTCCATCCTGTCCACCCCGCTGCAGCCCGGTCTGCCATGGACCAGAGCCTGCTGCCCATTCTTTGTCAGGCTGGCCTTGGTGGGCTGTGCCAGGGCCACATCACCTGCCAAGCACCTGTATAGCAGTTGCGGGTCCTTTATATAATACTTTCATATGAACAGTCCATAAGGAAAAACTACCTTCCAAAACGTGTAGACACACAAAAATACATGTGCCTATAGTGTTCAATCTGTCCCTGGGGAGCACCCCAAAGGGAAGGCCCTGACCATCACACCCACAGAACGTGTCCCCGTCCTGGCTCCAGGGTAATGTCACACAGGCTTAAAGGCACCACCACCGAGACCCCGCCTAAGCCGAGCGCGCACGGAGCGCACCTGCAGGGCAGGGATCTCCCGTGGAGCCGCTGTGACCCCCCGAACCCGCTCCCCGGCCCCTCAGGCTCGGCGGGGCCCGGCCGCGGGGCGGAGCGGGGCGGGCCGGACGGGGCCGTGCCCGGCCGGAGCTTGTGCCCGCCCGGCCGCCGCCGGTGGGGCCGCCGGGGATGGCGGGGCCAGCGGAGGTAGAGGGAGCGGTGGGGATGGCGGGGCCAGCGGACGCGGAGGAATCGCTGTCGCGGGGCTTCTCGGAGGAGCAGTTTCGGGCCGCCTGCCGGGAGCTGGAGCAGCCGGCGCCGGCCGCGGCGGGGCCCTGGCAGCTCCTGGTGGAGACCATGGGCGTGCGGATCTACCGGCTGTACCATGAGGTGGGCGGGCTCCGGCAGCAGCAGCGGGGCGGCCGGGGGCGGTGGGTGAAGGGGCCGGGGGGCGGTGGTGACGGGGATGGGGGCGGTGGATGAAGGGGGCAGTGG